AAGACAAACTTGTTTTACCAAAATGTAGCCATGAAATGTGCTGCAGTTGCTATGATGACTGGTATATATATATGCTTCTCTACCTCGTCACTATGGTGCAAGAAATAGAAATGTACTTGGTTGATTTGTTAATAAGAAACAGTTTGAAATAATACTGCTGTAATTGGATAGATTTTTAAGGTGCATGAAAGAAGTATGTTGAAATACATAAATAAGTCAAAGTACATTGCTATTTCTTGCATACGAAAACCCGAAGATTCACTCTCGGAACAAATTGCAGGCGAAGAAGATCAATGTCTTGCCCGTTTTGTCGAGTAAGCCTAAAAAGAATAGACTCGGGTGAGCTGTGGGTGTATGTGGACAAGAAAGAGGCAATCGACATGGCCACATTAACAAGGGAAAATCTTAAAAGGTTCTTCGTATACATTGACAAGCTCCAACTCGTTCAGCCTGACTCAGTCTCTGACTCTTATGATTCTCATGTGAAGTAGACAAACGGAAAAAAGACACATGGTTTATTTCTACAATTTGTATAAAAGTAGGTTTATGACAACCACCAAATCCTTTGTTTTTTGGGGATTTTGGAATGTCTTGTATGTCGTTCATAAAGGTATTAATCAACTTGTGATCTGATTTCGGGTTTCGTGGATTTACCATCAAAATGGGTCTTTGTTTGAGGAGAAGCAGTCAATGGGGAAGACAGTGGCCATTCACAGAAAAGGGGTTCAATGATTTGCTTAAACTAAATCCGAAATCCATTTTCTTTGCTTTCTATTGCTTTCTATTAGGCTAGAGGGAGTCCTGTCATTTTTGCTGTGCCACCTAGGATTTGCCAAACATTTTCAAAAGTTTTTCATTTAGAGGACGTGGTTTGTCACTTTTACCATACAATATATATTTTTTTAAAACAAAAAATATTTTATATAAAAAACTAATATATAAAACTAAAATATTCATTAAAATACTAAGAACAAGTACGCATGAAATTAAAAAACAACGAACCTAAAATTAAAAAAATATTAAAACAAGCTTCAAATTAAAATAAAACAAAAAACAAGTTGATTCGATACCATTTGTCTTTCTCCTCACAATTTGTCAAAACTCAACAAACCATTAAGGTTTGTAAGTTTCTTCACGGAAAGTCTCAAGAACATTGACTAATATAATTCTTTCATTTTCACAATTTACCGCTTTACGCCTCATCCTAAGAAACATAAAGTGAAACTGCACTGCAATTGCGTTGCATGTCTCCATTTGGAGAAAAATTAATATTTTTTTTCGACATCGACCGGCTTCATGGTTGTATCGTTGGGTGCATTTCATCCAGAAAGTAGACAACATCTACAATGTTGATGTTGATTGACTTTTCAATTACATCAATCATGCATGAGCTAGCATAATCTCTTCATCCGTGGTCCAAATGTGAGTAATTTTTTTTCGAAATGAAGGTTTGAAGATGATGAAAAATAAAAAAGGTTATTAGTTGAATGAAAAAGGTTTAAATAAGATGAAAAATAAATAAGGATGTTGGTATTTATAGTGGTTGATGAATGATACGACATAGAACTCCGGTATCTCTTCTAGACAGATGCTACGACGGAGATCTAAAACTCACAGAGCAAAGTCGTTAGAATCGCTCTATGGACTGTGCTCCGGGAGCAGGCTCCGACGATCACGTTAGATCGGTTGATAAAGATGAGATGGTTCTCATTAGCTGGATAGAACCATCTTGGTGATGGGGGTAGTGTATGGGCATGGAAGCTGAATGTGGAGAGTGGCGACTGAGCCACTGGGAAAAGTCCCTCTCCATGGAGGAGGTACTGATCACTTTATAAGGGACCACTAGGTTAAGGGGAATTAGGCTAGGCCTTGGGCCAGCCCAATTCAGTCCCAACTATTAAGGAGCTGGGCAAGGCTACTTGGGGGCGTTAGGCGAGACTAGCGGATGCGCACCAAGTGAGGCTGGTAAGGGAGCGCCAGGCAGGGCTGATCAGAGAGTGTCAGGTAAGGCTGTCAAGGGAGCGCTAGGCATGACTGACAGGAGAGTGCCAGACAGGGCTGGCAGGAGAGTGCCAGACAGGGCTGACAAGGGAGCGCTGGGCAGGGCTGGCAGGAGAGCGCAAGACAAGGTTGAAATCGTATGAAGAAGTTACGACATTCAGATTACAAGACCTAAGCACCAAGCAATCGAGGTCACAGTGGCCGTAAGCATGAACAACCTAGAATACCTTATTAATGATTGTCCAACGTATGATGCTGTAAGAAAAACTTAAATAAATCGATCATAAGTACTGAATGTGTAAAAAAACAATAAAAATTTATTTTGCAGCAAAAAAATATTAAAAGAGTAAGTGAAAAATATATTACTCTATTATGACTTTTTTTACGTTTTACCTGGAATAGACGGTGATAAGAACTGAAAATATAAAGTTAAACAAGTTGATTGAGATTGAGATTTGAATTTTATACGGTAGACAACGGAGGATGGGGGAATCACTCCACTTGAAATAACGTGCTCCAAGATATGTAGAGAACGCATCTTGATTACCCTTTTAAAAAATACATTTAAAAGCTTGAAAACATAAGAAAATCTTTGTCGTTTTTCTTATAAAAAGGCAGATGGGCCCCACTGCACCCACCCCACAACCACTTGTGCATTGCACACACGATCCATTGATCTCTGATAGATTCTTTCATAAAACCCGCAGCAAGATGAACCACAGACCACCGGAAAACACCCACTGTGATCGATATCATACTTTCAGGCCAAAGACTCCACCTTTTTCCGGCTAAGATCACAGTTTCCGGCCAAACTCTTGCCGCTGATTGAGATGGAATCAGTAACTTGGAGGCTGCTTTTGTCTATGGTACCACTGCTTTTGTATTTGCTATTCATCGTCTACTTCGATTACAACTCTCCAAAGGTTAGATTTCCCCCTTTTTTTGTTCTTCTGATAAACCCTAGTTCTGTTTAGTGATGTATTGTCTATGTGCTAATCTTTCGGTTAACTTATTCTTATTAAACTGAATTCAGTTTAATTTGGCAATTATGGATGCTAGTATCTTCTATAAGCTTTGACAATCTAATATCTTGAAAATGATTATTATGAATCAAACTCAGATAATAAATTGTGATGGGTTTGATCACACAACTGACTAAAATTGGAGGATGGATAGATAAATTGATCATATTTTGGACAAATTTCACAATTCATTAAATAATCATCAACTTGGCAATATGGGACTTTGTGTAACTTTTTGTTTTTTTGCGGAATGTTTTTTTTGTTTTGTTGCATAGTAACATAGTTCTTAAAGTTAAACTTTCATGTGTACATATTTGATCCTTCAAGATTTAGTTAATACATTTCTAGTTAATTTAATTGTATAACTATCATTATAATGTAATACTTGTTCCTTGTAATATTATGCTATATGTTAAATAGATATTAATTATCAATTATAATAAATTTAATCTTTATGTTTCAAAATGTAAATACTTTTGGAAATTGACATATATTACAATACTAGTAACAAAGAGATGTAAGCTAAGAAATATAAGGGGGTACTTTTGAAATTAATATAAGTTAGATAAAAAGAATATACTTGGAATATTCATTTTGGTGTAAAACATTGTGTAATGGACCGAAGATGCTCTGAGTAAATTTATTGAGTCATTGCCATTTTCAAGAAAATGAAATCAAAATTTGCATTTGCAAGATCTCATATTTCATAGTGAAATTGCTACCTCACATTATATCAGAAAACATTAAAAAAAAATCCAATATAGGCAAACAGACATTGCTAAACTAAGCCAAACTGCATCTAAACTCAACCTATTCAATAGTGCAGGTGATGTTCATCTTCTAATCTCATAAAAGATTCAACTTTTACACTCTTTTGATTGAATCTTTCAGAACCCATCAATATTTCCCCAAAATATTTGATTTTTCTGCTTTTCTTGATGAACTTTTGAGGCATATTTACACACATAAGCACCTACACCAGAAAAAAACAAACCAACTATGTGGTTTGTGTCTTTTTGTGTCACGTGCATTTGGACACATGCATAAGGACTAAAGAAACACATACTCTGACATAATTGAGTTATTGCCCTATTTGAGTTTATTTTCTTTCTTGCAGTGTTCAGAACATCCCATTTTGATTAAGATTTTCTGATCATCTAAAGCTAGTTTAATTATATTTTGAGAATGTAAAGGAGAAGTGGCAACAAAACAGAGTTCTGAGGGTAAATGTAAAATTTAAGATCATTACTTTTTCTAAACTTTCTATATCAATTATCATGTGAAATTTATTGCTTTCAGTAGTGCTATGTTTTTCTTTAACCTTTTGCAATCATAAATGATGATCATTAACAATTAAAAATATAATGCCTTTATGAACGAAAGACGTATAAAGATGCGTTCATAATACGAAAAAAATCATACAACTGTTGTAATAAATAACTTTTATGTTGTAAGTTACAAATTTCATAACTTTTTCATATTGATTTAAATAAACTGAAATGCTAATGCAACAGCCTACAACAAGTGGCTGCAGTCTTTTTCCTCATGATCATTTCTGGATTGCTAGCAAACGCATTGTGACACCCCATGAGATCATTTCTGGTGCAGGTTTGTTTAGCTGATCTGGATTTTCCAACTTGGATATGCATTATTAAAAATAAAATCTTTTTAGGGATGCACTACAATATAAAGAAATTATTTTGTATGGGTAGATGCGCATTTTTGCAACAATCCTTCATATTTTTTGCAATTTATGCAACAATGTTTCACATTTTTTTGCAATTTATGTAACAATGTATTTCTTTAGATGAAATATGCAACAATGTTCGATTTTATTACCAACCGGTTTGTATAAATATGTAAAAAAGTGAAAGGTAAAAGGGTGAAACATGGTTGCATAAATTGGTAGAAAAGTGAAGCACAGAAGTTGGCATAAAAATAGATTCTAACTACTAAATTCATGGCAATCATGATTTTCTTTTTGAGAAAAACTTGAAAACTACATCTAGCAAAAGAGAATCTACTACAAATAAAACATGTAGAGTCTGTAAGAAAATTCTAATCGACTTTGAAATTGAAAAAGTAATAGAACTTTAAAAGGTCAACTGATTTTCAAGTATGAGGTTATATTGATTAAATATGCAAATGAGCAGTTGAGATTAATGGAGGAAGCATCATATCTTTGGTTAAAGAAAAGGATTGGCAAGGACAAGTCAAGAATGAACCAGTGATTGATTATGGAGAAGCTGTTTTGATGCCTGGTTTAATTGATGTGTAAGAAATATTCCCATAAATTGTCTTGATTTCCTATCTGGATCTTCATGTTCTAGAATCTAGATTCAATACTTTATCAAAGATGTAAACTTTAGTGATCAAAGTGACAAAAAGATTAAACCTTTTATGTGTAATGTGATTTTGTTTGTGTTGTTGACAATAGGCATGCACATCTTGATGATCCAGGAAGGGCAGAATGGGAAGGATTTCCTTCAGGAACCAAGGCTGCTGCTGCTGGTATGTCAATTAGACAATATTCTAATATGTTTATGATTATTAAAATAATACTTCTGGTTAACGGATATTTTATATGATATAAAAATAAAAACTGTTTTTTGTATTTTCTTTGGTTATACAGGCGGGATAACAACATTGATAGATATGCCTCTTAATAACTTTCCATCTACTGTTTCTGAGGAAACCTTAAAACTTAAGGTGAAGATGACTAATATACACTTCAAAGTTCAATCTTCTACTATTTTTATTTTTTAAATAGTTTTATCTTGGTTCCACAATATTTCGTTCTTCTTTTGGTTATTTCGAGTGAAATACTAAATCATTCTCTTATGATCATGAACAATTGGACGATAGAAAGAGGCTACAAAAGGGAGGATTTATGTTAATGTTGGTAAGCTCCTCAAACTAATAAAAAGAAAAAAAAATGTAATTTTATCTTATCATTTTAGGCCCCGTTTGTTACGCAAGACAAAACATGACGTTCTTGTACTGTATTTGACATGCATTGAACTGAGATAGTGAGACGCTGTTTGATATGCTTGTTACTGGGTCTGGTAAGAGGCTGGGTCTGACTCGGTCAAATTCAGACTGTTTGATATCACATTTGGAAGCATCTGACTCTGTCCTCGGTCCTTGCTCCTCTAATATGCCTCTTACCGGTCGGTCAGATTCAGGGTTGTGTCTAGTCAGATCCGACTCAATCAACAACTATCAAAAAGCCTTGAGACTTATTAGACTGATGTTAATGGGACAAAAAATTACAATATCTTATAATATTATATTCAGGTTGATGAATCTAACATTTACTTTTATTACTTAGGGTTTTGGGGAGGTCTAGTACCTGAAAATGCATTTAATGCAAGTATTCTAGAAGGTCTCCTAAACGCCGGTGCTCTTGGTCTCAAGGTACAAAAATGAAAAAACTGTACATGTTTTTAGGACATTCAAGATTCAAACTTCAGTTTTTCTTTTTCTTTTATATCGCATTACTATCTTACACTTGTTTCCTGCATATGTTCCATTTTCAGTCTTTCATGTGTCCTTCAGGAATTAACGACTTCCCCATGACAGATGCTACCCATATCAAGGTACTTAAGTATTTTTTAATACTTATGTCAATTGGACAAAGACTGAACCAAAAAGGTATGTCTTGTATGTGCAAAAGACAAGAAAGCCCTCCTATGTGAATGAAAATACATTATTCCAGTTATGTGCAAAAGACAAAAATACCCTTCTCATCCTCGTTTCTTTTGTATACATATAGGAAGGACTATCCGTATTGGCCAAGTACAAGAGACCTTTGCTTGTCCATGCTGAAAAACAGCAAGAATTGGAACTGGAAGATGGTGTTGATGATCCGAGATCCTATTCTACATATCTTAAAACCCGACCCGCCTCATGGTACTTCTAGACTTTCAGGTTAACTACATGAAGTTTACATTATTATATATGGTAACCAGGGTTATTTTCGTCATTTAGGGAAGAGACGGCCATTAGAGAGTTGCTGACAGTAGCAAAAGACACTAGAATTGGTGGTCCAGCTGAAGGAGCTCACGTTCACATTGTTCATCTCTCCGATTCACGATCCTCTCTGGAATTGATCAAAGTAATTAGGGTTTCTCTTTGCATACATACCCTTTCATTTGGTATTTTTACTTATTAAAAAACTGTTTATGTGTGTAGGAAGCAAAAAACAATGGTGATAGCGTAACTGTTGAAACTTGCCCGCATTACTTAGCCTTTTCTGCAGAAGAGATCCCAGATGGCGATACTCGTTTCAAGTGCTCACCACCCATTCGCGATGCATCCAACAAAGATAAACTCTGGGAGGCTTTGATGGTAAGTAAATTCAAAATTCAAAATCGATTATCATATCTTAAGCTCTTACGATTAAATTTTAGGGCGGAGATATCGACATGTTAAGCTCTGATCATTCACCATCTGCGCCTGAGCTTAAACTATTTGAGGAAGGCGACTTTTTGAGGGCGTGGGGAGGTATATCTTCGTTACAGGTTAGTTCTTCGATCTTTTTGTAATATGTTGTTTGTTAGGGGACTAGATGTGCTGTCGTAATGTTTGTAGGGGGTAATAAGTGAAATTTGTTATTTATTTATTTATTTTTTCAGTTTGTTCTTCCTGTTACATGGTCCCATGGGCTTAGATATGGTGTCACTTTGGAGAAATTAGTTTCATGGTGGAGTGAGAAGCCTGCTAAACTTGCTGGCCAAGATCTAAAGGTAGACAAGTGATTTGTAATTTTTGTCCTATTCACAGTATATCAATATACGTGAAACACAGTACAATCTGTTTTGTTTTGTTTTGTTCTGTTAGGGGGAGATTGCAATCGGGAAGCATGCGGATATTGTAGTTTGGGAACCGGAAAAGGAGTTTGACCTTGATGAAAATCACACCGTACATGTGAAACATCCGGTACAATGTCTTGATAAGAAAGTAAAATTAAAAAATAAAAGTAGAATAATGTAATACATAAATTAATGAAATTATGTTGTTTCTTGCATTTTAAAGTAATCACATTTTTTTTGTAGAGCATATCGGCATACATGGGTTCAAGACTCGCCGGAAAAGTTGTGGCAACTTTTGTTAACGGAAACTTAGTGTTTGATGACGGAAAACATGCTCCCAATGCATGCGGTACAACTATCCTAGCATGATTGATGGTGAAACTTGCCGGAAAATTTGGATTTGTGTTCTTTTCAGGCGACATTCTAGCGAGATTTCTGGCTTTTGCGTTTGTACCAGAGGGTGTAATGTTGCATTTTTAGGGGAGATTTATATAATTCATGTGTATACGTAAGTGTGTTAGTTATAGTTGAAGGTTGGTGCTTATAATGTGCATTGTGTAGGAACCAGAGCACACAAATACAAAATAATCGAACCGAAAACTAGATATTGATTGCAAACTGTTTTTGGATAACTCTAAATTGAATCATAAGTACGTTATTCAAAAATTTTCTATAAAAATGAATATAAGCTGTTCAGATTTAATTTTTCGCCTTTTTGAATTTACGGTTTTGCACAACCCTATTTAGAGCAACTCTAAAAAAACAACAAAATAGTAATTATTTAGCACCAAATTTATTTTCTTTCCAACCATATTAATTTACATCATTAAATATATATTTAATGTTTTTTAAAATGGAATAGCATATGTTTTATTATTGTATTATTAGTTGTGAGACCCATGTATTATATGAGTTAATTTAAAAAAAAAAGTTAAATATAAAGGTCAAAATATTTGACAACTTTGAATTTATAAGAAAATAAATAAAATAATGATTTATTATAATAGAAATGTTTTTTATCTTTTAAATTTAAACAAATAATTTAAATAAAGAAAAAACTAATGAGTTTTAATTTTAGAAATTTTGAAATTAAAAGGTAAATTTATTAGTGAAATTAATATCCATTTATTACTACATTTATTACAATTATTGTGCAATTTAATAAAATAAAAAACTCATAAAATGACATGTGGAAAAAAATTAATTCAAAATAACCACAAAATAAAATTTGGCAAATTAAATGTGACAAGTAGCAAAAAAACCTTCGTTTATTAAAGAGGATATTATTAGAATAACAATTAAAATATATAAATGTTATTTTTTTTTTAAATTCTAAAATATTTTAACTTATCAAAACATGTGAAAATTCTAAATGACAATAGGGTGGACAGTTGGCTCGGTCAGAACGATCCGATCCGAGGCTGATAATAATAGCACGCCGGGTATCGTTTCTCAAGATTGACCGTTTTTTGTTTCGAATTTTAGCCGGTTTAGTGCAATTGGTTTTGGGTAAAGAAACCAGGATCGACCTGAAACACGAGGTATCAAAGTTGAATTGTTGTCTTTCAACATTATGCATAATTCGTTATCTTCTTTTAAGTTGTCACAACTCCTTTGTTTGAAGTCAGAATAACATGTTTTTTTCCTCCAAAATGTAGTTTATTGTTTGTACTCTATTTTAGACTACAAAACACTTTATTTGATTATATATTGATTGAATTACAAGTGTAACACTAAGTTTCAGATAATTCTTTTGTTGTTATAGCATTCAAGCTCAAAAAGGATGGATTTTAAGGCCACAACGTGGTGATGTACTACGATGTGGCGGTACCCGATGGAAACGCGCAACTTAAGTACGCGTTATAGTGTGACAATATATTGGTCACGACGTGACAACTATTTTTATGCTAAACCCTAATTTCGAGGTTTGTGCCCCTATTTAAGGGAAGGGACGCTAGGGTTTGCACACCTTTAGCCTCCATCACCTCCCTTTCACCCTTAAAGAAACCTAGCCTCTATTGTTGTCATTTTTGAAGCTTTGTGGTGTTTTGTGACCTTGAAGATGAAGAAGGTGTTCTTAAGCATTGATCAAACAAACAAACCTCCTCATCATCTTGATGCATACTTCTTGGACCTTTTTAAGTCCTCAAGTTGCTATCTTTTGTGTTCAAACCTTTTAAATCTAGGTTTAGGAGCTTGTTCTTCATGTTCTTGTTGGTTTAGATGAGTGGATTTCATAAAGTTGGCCATAACATGGCGGCCGGATGTGAGACTTTCGACTGTTGACTGTTTGACTTTGACCGTTGACTTTGGACCAAGTTGACCTTCGGGTCAAATTGAGGGTTTTAAGGCCATAGATTGATGATTTGCCTCTATCTTATGTATAGGTGGCTTGTAGTGCCGGTTCTTGTCTTCGTGTGGGCGGTGTTGATAAAGAATGAACCAGTGATTGATTATGGAGAAGCTGTTTTGATGCCTGGTTTAATTGATGTGTAAGAAATTTTCCCATAAATTATCTTGATTTCCTATGTGGATCTACATGTTCTAGAATCCAGATTCAATACTTTATCAAAGATGTAAACTTTAGTGATCAAAGTGACAAAAAGATTAAACCTTTTATGTGTAATATGATTTTGTTTGTGTTCTTGACCATAGGCATGCACATCTTGATGATCCAGGAAGGGAGAATGGGAAGGATTTCCTTCAGGAACCAAGGCGGCTGCTGCTGCTGGTATGTCAATTAGACAATATTCTAATATGTTTATGATTATTATAATAATACTTACTGGTTAATGGATATTTATATGATATAAAAATAAAAACTGTTTTTTGTATTTCTTTGTTTATACAGGCGGGATAACAACATTGATAGATATGCCTCTTAATAGCTTTCCATCTACTGTTTCTGAGGAAACCTTAAAACTTAAGGTGAAGATGACTAATATACACTTCAAAGTTCAAACATCTACTATTTTTATTTTTTAAATAGTTTTATCTTGGTTCCACCATTTTTTGTTTTTGTTTTGGTTATTTTGAATGAAATACTAAATCATTCTCTTATGATCATGGACAATTGGACGATAGAAAGAGGCTGCAAAAGGGAGGATTTATGTTAATGTTGGTAAGCTCCTCAAACTAATAAAAAGAAAAAAAAATGTAATTTTATCTTCTCATTTGTTACGCAAGACAGAACATGACGGTCTTGTACTGTTTTTGACATGCATTGAACTGAGATAGTGAGGGGCTGTTTGATATGCTTGGGTCTGGTAAGAGGCTGAGTCTGACTTGGTCAAATTCAGATTGTTTGATATCACATTTGGAAGCATCTGACTCTGTCCTCCGTCCTGGCTCCTCTAATATGCCTCTTACTGGTCGGTGGGTTGTGTCTAGTCAGATCCGACTCAATCAACAACTATCAAAAAGCCTTGAGTCTTATTAGACTGATTTTAACGGGACAAAAAAAAAATTACAATATCTTATAATATCATATTCAGGTTGATGAATCTAACATTTACTTTTATTACTTAGGGTTTTGGGAAGGTCTAGTACCCGAAAATGCATTTAATGCAAGTATTTCTAGAAGGTCTCCTAAACGCCGGTGCTCTTGGTCTCAAGGTACAAAAATGAAAAAACTATACATGTTTTTAGGACACTCAAGATTCAAACTTCACTTTTTCTTTTTTTCCTTTATATTGCATTATATCTTACACTTGTTTCCTGCATATGTTCCATTTTCAGTCTTTCATGTGTCCTTCAGGAATTCACGACTTCCCCACGACAGATGCTACCCATATCAAGGTACTTCAGTATTTTTAATACTTACGTCAATTGAACAAAAACTGAACCAAAAAGGTACGTCTTGTATGTGCAAAACACAAGAAAGCCCTCCTATGTGAATGGAAATAGTCGTAGAAAGATTGTCCAGCTCATTTCAGTTATGTGCAAAAGACGAATATACCCTTCTCATCATCGTTTCTTTTGTATACATATAGGAAGGGCTATCCGTATTGGCCAAGTACAAGAGACCTTTGCTTGTCCATGCTGAAAAACAGCAAGAATTGGAACTGGCAGATGGTGGTGATGATCCGAGATCCTATTCTACATATCTTAAAACCCGACCCGTCTCATGGTACTTCTAGACTTTGTGTAAATTATGTTGAAAAATTGTAAAATGACCATTATGCCCTTTGATTCAATCTTGAATTTCAAACCAACCGAAAGTTTCAAATTAAGTTTAGGTTCTATGTTTTGACCACCAAAAGTTTCAGATTAACTACATGAAGTTTACATTATTATATATGGTAACCAGGGTTATTTTCGTCATTTAGGGAAGAGACGGTCATTAGAGAGTTTCTGACAGTAGCAAAAGACACTAGAATTGGTGGTCCAGCTGAAGGAGCTCACGTTCACATTGTTCATCTCTCCGATTCACGATCCTCTCTTGAATTGATCAAAGGGTTTCTCTTCGTATCTTTGCATACCCTTTCATTTGCTATTTTTACATATTAAAAACCGTTCATGTGTAGGAAGCAAAAAACAATGGTGATAGCGTAACTGTTGAAACTTGCCCGCATTACTTAGCAGGGCCGGCCCTAAGGGTGTGTAAAGTGTGTAGCCGCACAAGGCCCCGAGAAAAATAGGGTCCGATTGTAACCAAATTGTATATATTTAATATCTTAATATATATTATTTTATACAAGATATATGCATAACTGATGTAGTTCAGATGGCTTAAACACTTGACTATGCGCGCCTGTTGTCCTACGTGACGAGGGTTCCCTTCAAATAATGTTTGAGCCTATGTTCAAACCAAACAAACCCACCTCCTAACTGTAGGGCCAAATCATAGTCAAAAGAAGAGTTTGATCCTGACTTAGAAGGAACGCTAGCTATATGCTTAACACATGCAAGCCGAACGTTGTTTTCGGGAAGGAATATTGATAAGAGCTGGTGTTTTTCCTGCAAGTTTGAATGCCATTAAGCATTCCCCAGTGCTTATGGAGTCGTATTCGGATTCTGCTTGAGCGGCCTTCTCTCTCTGAGTTACGGCAAAGGTCGACCCTTCATTTCTAATTACGAAATTAGTTTTCAAAATGTATATATATAGCCTCTAAAATTTTATAATTTTGCATTTTACCCTTTTTAATAAATTTAATTTATATTTTAATTTTTCTTATGACAATTCATCATTCTTAAATTTATTTTGTTTCAAATATATATATATATATATATATATATATATATATATATATATATATATATATATATATATAGGCCCATTTTTTTGTTTCGTACAGGGCCTTCAGAATCAACGGACAGGCCCTCTTACTTAGCATTTTCTGCAGAAGAGATCCCAGATGGCGATACTCGTTTCAAGTGCTCACCACCCATTCACGATGCCTCCAACAAAGAAAAACTCTGGGAGGCTTTGATGGTAAGTAAATTTTTGGCTTTTGCATCAAAAATTCAAAATTCAAAATCGATTATCATATCTTAAGCTCTTACGATTAAATTTTAGGGCGGAGATATCGACATGTTAAGCTCTGATCATTCACCATCTGCCCCGGAGCTTAAACTATTTGAGGAAGGCGATTTTTTGAGGGCGTGGGGAGGTATATCTTCGTTACAGGTTAGTTCTTGGATCTTTTTGTAATAAATTGTTTGTTAGGGGACTAGATGTGTTGTCGTAATGTTTGTAGGGGGTAATAAGTGAAGTTTGTTATTTATTTATTATTTTTTTCAATTTGTTCTTCCTGTTACATGGTCCTATTGGCTTAGATATTGTGTCACTTTGGAGAAATTAGTTTCATGGTGGAGTGAGAAGCCTGCTAAACTTGCTGGCCAAGATCTAAAGGTAGACAAGTGATTTGTAATTTTTGTCGAATTCACATCATTCTGAGTATATCAATATATGTCAAACACAGTGCAATCTGTTTTGTTTTGTTTTGTCAGGGAGAGATTACAATCAAGAAGCATTCGGTTATTGTAGTTTGGGAACCGGAAAAGGATTTGACCTTGATGAAAATCATACCGTACATGTGAAACATCCGGTACAATGTTTTGATAAGAAAATAAAATAAAAAATAAAAGTAGAATACTCTAATACATAAATTAATGAAATCACATTTTTTTTGTCGTATTCACATCATTTTGTTTTGTTCTGTCAGGGAGAGATTGCAATGGGGAAGCATGCGGATATTGTAGTTTGGGAACCGGAAAAGGATTTGACCTTGATGAAAATCATACCGTACATGTGAAACATCAGGTACAATGTTTTGATAAGAAAATAAAATAAAAAATAAATGTAGAATAATGTAATACATAAATTAATGAAATCATGTTGTTTCTTGCATTTTAAAGCAATCACATTTTTTTTGTAGAGCATATCGGCGTACATGGGTTCAAGGCTTGCCTGGCAACTTTTGTTAACGGAAACTTAGTGTTTGATGACGAAAAACACGCTCCCGATGCATGCGGTACAACTATCCTAGCATGACTGATGGTGAAACTTGCCGGAAAATTTGGATTTCTGTTCTAATCAGAATACCTAGTTCTTACCCATTTAGGGTGCGGACTATTACCGACCGTCGTCCATAACCATCAAGATGATGCTGCTAAAGATTTTCATTTTTCTGATGGTTACGAGGCAACAATATCCGCCCTTGTAAAAGGTGAATGAAGCTTGAAAACTCTACAAAGGTATTATAAACTCTAACATTTGACAAAAAGTTTGCACCGTTGCTTAGAGAACATCATGCTCAGGGCAATATTAAGGGCATTTAAGGTATTCTATACTCGCATGACTGTTCTTAACATCTAATAAGAAGAAATAGTTCTCGATATGGGTTGAAAAAGGCATACCATTCTTATCTCGAGTCTTAACCATGCCACCAGACACTTACCACCAGCCCACTACCCACCATCAATCGCTTGTAACATCCGATTTCTCTAAGAAAAAACTTTTGTAAATAATTCGTACGTTTTGGTTGACCACGACGTGGTGAAGGCTCACCACAACGTGGCCATGCTAGAATGTTCGTGGTACTTGAATGTGCCCCCACGACGTGGCATTGTTATCGACGACATGGCGAGCGGCTGAAGCATGAAACCCTAATTTCTCGGGTATTTAAAGGAGGAGGGAGGTTAGGGTTGGCCACCCTCAACCTCCATCACTCTTAAACCTCTGAGTTCATAACCTTAATCTCCTTTGAATCTTTTGAGCTCATTTGGGCCTTTGTGTGTGGTTTTTAGCTCCTTCTTGAAGAAGAAGCAGGGGCGTAGCTTGACCATTTTTTTTTGGGGGGGGGGGGGGGGGGGGAAGTATTATAAACTAGAATTAACGTTTAATCTCTTGATTTTCATCATGAATTTCTTCATTATCAACCTTTCTTTTGAAGAAAGAATGAATGATTTTCATATTTCCCATGATTGTATCTATAAAAAATCAAAATAAAAAAACAATTCATTCAAAATCAATTAATCAGCTATTCAGTCCTTTAACTTATATCACATATTAGATTAACATAAGCAAATAAGCAATGGTCATCATTCATCACTAATTAGTTGAACCAAGAAGGCAAGAAGAGAATATTTAACAATGTGTAATTAGTTGATTCCTGAAATTCCAACAACAATAAAATATAGAGGAAATATTCATATCAGTTCATAAGTTCATTCTAGACAAAAGCAACAAAACAGGCTCCTGAACAATTCCAACTTTCTAATTCCAAGTATCCAACAACTAAACAAGTACAATAATAGAAATTAGAAAAGAGAGAATACGAAACAGGTAAGAACATCAACAGAATACCGAAGTGAAAGCATACCTGATTACGTGATTTTCTTCACTTATGTGCTGTGAAACAGGAAAGAACAGGCGAACAACAGAATTGCAGCTGCGCAGAACAGCTGAACAGCAGCAGGCAGCAACAATGCAGCAGGTGACGGTGGTGAATAGCGGAGCGCCGAAGCCGGCAACTTCGATTTAAGGATTACTGACTTGCGATTAGCGAAGAATTGAGGATGGGGCTTGAGGGATTGGGGCGGAAGCTTTACAGATTGAACGATGGTCGATGGAATGATTACTTCTCTATCTCTCTTGGATCGGCTTCTTGGCAAACGAACAGTGGATCAGGAGGGGCCACAGCCCAAGACTCACATTGCTGGGTTTATAATTCTAAAAATTAAGCATACGTACTCTATTTCTAGCCCAAAATTCAGAGGGGGGGGGGGGCACAACCCCTCCTGGCCCCATAAAAGGTGCGCCCCTGAGAAGAAGACTCCATTGGTGTATTGTTTGGAGCAAGCAATCTTCTTTCCATCATCCTGTGTTGTTGTTGGACCTTTGTAAGTTGTCAAGCTTCTACCTTTCTCTTTCAGGCATGCTAGATCTAGGGTTTTGTTCTTATTTCTTCATGTTGGGTTGAGTGGAATGCATAGATTCCATATAGTTGGCAACTTTATGGATTATTAAGGTTCCCTTGCTATCATATGTTTCAGATCTAGAGTCTAATGCCATTTTGAGTTCCATGCTTGAGATTTTTAGTAGTATTGCTTCATTTTGACCTAAGTTAGGATCTAGACTTGTTTTGGGCATGCATGTTTAAGAAATCAATGATCTTTGTAATATTTTAGACCTTAGTAAAGATTTTGGAAGGTTGGAAGGAAAGGGCTTAACAGATTAAGGGCTAGATCTATTAAGCTGCTGGAACAAGTTAACACGACGTGGCGATCATGTAACATCCCAAAATACGTGGGTAAAATTTTCATTTTAAAAAAAATCAAAACACCCATTTATTATTTAAACAAATCCTTAAAGATATTTCATAATAAAAACAGTTATCAGAGTACAATCCCAAAATCTCAAAGTTGCTGAAAATATAGGTGTATACGCTGCGATTAAGCCGGGCCCGTCCCTTTCGAACCAGAAGTACCTGATACCATAAACAACAACTATAAGTACAAAGCTTAGTGAGTTCCTCAAATACCACATACCATACATAACATACAAGCCATATATAACATACATATCCAACATTCAGTAGGAGGTGCTTTGTGCCAACCATAGTCTTGCCATTATGCCACGAGCCGTATCATGGTCTTTCCTTGCCAAGCCGGGGGCCATAACCTTGGGTCTTATAGAAAAGTGCCAGGAGCCACCTCCTGGTCTTCTATGCAAGAATCACAAAAACAACTAGCATATAATCTACAACTATTTATTTATTTTACTGCCAGAGTCCAAACTCTGGTCTTACATATAAATTTGCCAGGAGCCACCTCCTGGTCTTTCATACAAATGCCAAGTGCCACCCCATGGTCTTCCCATAATACATAAACCAAATGGGTTGGCATTGGTGCCTTTGACCCAATAGTACAGTGAGGAGACTCACCTCGACGGCTGAACCCACGAATAAATCTATGACTGCAGATCCGCTAAAATCCACGCGCTATCAAATACCAAAATAACAATCCATTAATAAGTAGCTACTGAATCACATTAATTAGTCAAAATTAGGGTAAAACACCTTTTTACCCTTCCACCAACTTGGCCCAAGGCCAAGGCCCAAACCACATGTCCAAAAGCCCAAAATCCAAAATAAGCATCTAAGGTATATGGCCCGATTTTCCAAATTGGGGCCAATTCCTTTCATGGGTCTTCACCCAAGAAAGTCCAATAAAGTCAAAAAAGCCCAACCATAAAATACAGATAGCCCAACATGGCCCTAGACAACCAAGCCCAAAACCGAAGCCCAAAACGAAGAAGTCCAAGCCTGCTAAGTACGCGGAGCATACTCATCATGTACGCTCAGCATACTGTATGGAAGGCTTATACGCACAACGTACAAACTTGTACGCCCAACGTACTCACCAACCTTGGCCAACTTTCCAAATCAACTCTTTAATCCATTAAGACTGTGATCCAAACTCAGATCTGTCTTCCCTAAGGTGGTTAATCACATAAAGTTGCCAAATTTATGTGCATGCATGGTTAAATGGGACTCTAGAGCTCAAAGGAGCTTAATACTTGACTTAATACATACATGGGACCAAAACCACCATAAAGTTTGCACCTTTATGCCCAAGGAACCCATAAAATATCTAGATCTACAAAGACAAGCTCCAAAACGACCTTAACTCCTAATCACCAACCAAAAGGACCAAAATGACCAAAAATGTGCCAAGAAGTAGATCCATGAAATGAAATGGCAAGATTTGAACTTTATACCTTCCAAGCCACCAAAAGAAGATGCTAATGCTGGATCTCAAAGCCTTCCTCCAAAGAACAAGTCTCCAAGCTTCTTCTTCTTCTTCTAGATCCTGATTAATTCATGTAAGTCTATGTATGGTCACACAATAGTTAACACATAATCAATTATTGAATAAGAATGGAGCCATGTAAGATTGATTTGATAAACACAATTATGGTCATAATATGAGTTCTCTAGCACAACCTAATTCAATGATCCAATTGCTTATCTACGATTGGTTTGATCTTAGCTCTAATAAACTAGTGTTCACTGAATTATTAGGTATTCAAATTCATGCAGATTTGTATTCACTAACTACACATAACAAGAAATTTAAGCAATCAAAATTTGAATCAAACATGCTAGGTAAAATCAACTAAACACAAGCATAATACGAACAAGTAAAGTCAAATCTAATGTATTAACACTATGAGTTCCAACTTCATCTAGCTAACAGAAGCAACTAGATTTAGTTAGACATACTAGCTAACAAACCATAGGCGGATCCAAGGGGATCCCGGGGTAGCCCGGGTGTAACACCCGCTTATTTATTAAATAAATAAATAAATAAATGAAGGACTCGTAGCCCTAAAATAAATAATTATGTATAAAAGGATGGTCTCGAAGAGCTAATTGTAAAGATTTTAGAAGATGGGGGTTGTTTGGTAATTTATGGGACTTAATTTGTAAGAGTTTTAAGGGAAGAGGTTAAAAAGGGTAAATTATGGGCTGACTTTGAAAGAAAATGTGAAGGGAGGGGCTATTTGTGATATTATGGTAATATGCTCAAGGGTGTCGGGTATTTAGCTGAACATAACCCTAACCCTAAGATCCTTGAGTCAGCCGCCAACACACCTTGTATCCCCCTCCACCCGACCTCTGCCTCCAGCTCCCTCATCGCTATCTTGCACCACCGATTCCCATTGAAACACCACCGGATTTCCACTATGTGTTTTGCCGGCGAGAGAGAGGGTTCAACGAGTCAAGGTTTCGGTGACGGGGCTGTGAAGAGTTCACGAGCGAAGCTGCTGCCGCCGCTGCCAGACGAGTCCGAGCGCTGCCGCCACGACTTTACTGCCGGAGAAGCCGTGAACTGCCGAGGAAGGACCGCCGCACACCATGGATGGGTTATTCTTCTTGGATCTTTGGCACTCCATGCACTCGCGACCGCCGCCTGTTGCTCCGGTCAACATCTACTACCCCGAGGGTGGTTGTAGCGTGTGTTCCAGCCTCCATGTCGCATGTATGTGTGGGTAACGTGGTGTTTTGTTCTTCTGTGGATGCATCTCGGTCTGGAAATCAAGAGAAGGGCATTACCACCGAAGTGAGGCGGCGGTTTTCACCTCCTGCCACCGTCAACCACCACGTTAGGTGGTTGTACATGTGTGTGCGTGTAGGTCTTGCGTAGGTACTCCACTGTGTGTATGTTTTGGTGTGTGTAGGAGTGTTTTTGATGAATGTGACATGATATGTAATAGTTTGTTGGCTGGAAAACCAAGAACCGCCACCACCACCACCGTGAGGTGGTGGCTGCCACCATGTGCCGCCATGCGTGTGTTTATCTTAGTGAGTGGGCGTGTGTTTACTTGAGATTTAGCCTTGTAAAATGTAATTGGAAATGGAATAATGAGAAAGAAACTAAAAACCACCACCGTGAGGTGGTGGCTGCCACCTCCTGCCGCCACTGGCCGCCGTGTCGGGTGTCGGTGTGCCTTGTTGGATTGTGACTTGTTTGGATGTTTGGACAAAGGGACTAACAAACCCTAATGGGCCCAATGAGGCTTGATGGGCCTAGTGAAACCCTAATGGGCCTAATGAACCTTAATTGATCAAAATACATATCAATTGGGCCTATTGGGCTAAGATGGGGATTGGAAACCCTAATTAGGGTTTAGAAAACCCTAATATTGGATTTATGGGCCTGGACCTATCGGGACCCACATTTGGGCCACTGGAATGGAATTGTGTGTTAAGCCCAATCACACCATATGATTTATTTAGAAGAGTGATGGACTTAATGGATTAAGTCCTTAATGGGTTAAGTGAGAAACACTTAACCTTAATCGTCATTTTATGTGAAACCCTAATTTCACTTGGGTTTATTATTGGGCCTTGATGATTGGATAGTTAACGGGCGTTGAAGTAAGGCCCATCTGAGGAGTTGGGCCCAATTTGGAAAATTGGGCCATAGATGGGCCATAGTCTGGGCCTTTGTGATTATGTGATATTGGGACATTAGAATACCAAATGTTGGATTGGACTTTTTGGTTGGGCCTTTAAATAAGACCGTGTATAGGCCTGGGCCCAATTTGGAAAATTGGGCCATGTGTTGGGTTTTGATTCTTAATGGACTTTGGGCCTATGGATTGGGCCTTGGGCTTGAATAAGCCAAGCTAGGGGTAATGTAGTAATTACCCAAAGCATGTACTTATGGTTATGTAGTGGAACCCAATTATTAATTGGGTGATGTTTTGATATTGACAGATCGGGAATCTGTCCTCCAGCAGCTGGGGTTGAGTCTGCGGGACTTCAGCAGTGTGGGGTTGAGTCTACGGGACTTCAGCAGTGCGAGGTGAGTTACCTTCCAGTAGGGGTGGGTCTAAGGCACCAATGCCGGCCCACCAGTAGGTGATTATGTTTGAGATGATTGTCTTTATGATAATTATCTGGTTTCCATTATTTGATATGTTTATTGTGCTGGGATGCTATGAGATATGTGTTAGTAGTAGTAGTAGGGGTGC